CCCGGCTCAGCGCCCCAGCTCGCCCCACGGCCAGGAAGGATCGGGCTGGGGGGTGGGCAGGGTTTGGCTCCGGGTGGGGCCTTGGGCAGAGAGGGTGGGGGTGGGGCTGGCGCTTGCCTTCCCCAGCTGAGCGTTCTCCCGCCGCCCATGGAGCCAGGGGTGTGAAAAAACACCTCCCCGGCCCTGCAGTTCATGGCGCTGTGGGAACCAGGCTCCAGCACTGGGAGCCGCTCTCATCGGGGTGGTCTCCACGGAGCGCTGGGAGCTCTCTCTCCCGCCGTCCCTGCCATGCCTCTCACTTGACAGCGCCGCCCCGGCAGCATTGCTGCAGCTGCGCGTCAAGCTGCCAGGGTGCGGCTCGGGAAAAGATGCGCACGTTGCCCTCTGCATTTTCGTGCCTTTTTCCGATACTTTTGTCGGAAGAGGCTTTTCTGAAATTTGGCCCGTCTAGACAGGGCAATATTTCAGGACCCCCCCCCTTTCGAAAGCCCCCTTCTTCCTCGTGGAACGGGGCGTACAGGGGCTTCCGAAAGAGCCAGTCTGCTCTACGGCTAAAAAACAGCGGAAGAGCAAACGCGCCCCTGGACGTGGCGGAGTTTTGTTGGGACCCCCAGTCTAGCCATGCCCAAAGTGCAGACCAAGCCTAACTCCTGGGCAGGATCAGCCCTGCATGACCTACTGATGCTGAGCTGTCGTTGGTCAGAAAGCACCATTTACAGGCTGACCAGTGGTGCACAGCCAGTTGTACTTGTCCAGTGACATTTCTCAGACAAGGGCTTTATCAGCCCCGGCTTCCTGCTGTTTGCAAACTGCACAGAGCAGGGGGCAGCGGCGAGTCGGGAGACAAAGGAGCCTCTGCCCTGTGAACAAAAGACAGGACTACGCAGCACTTTGAAGACTAACAAGATTACTATTAGGTGATGAGCTTTCGTGGGCCAGACCCACTTCCTCAGATCAATATGTGGAAGAGAATTGTCTTTTGTTTCAGCTGGACCAGACTAACACGGCTGCATTTATATCACTACTCTGCCCTGGGAGACCGTGAATAAATCCCTAAGCTGTTCAGGTGAAACGCTGGCCCTGGGCCAGCAGCCTTTCACCCTGTGAACTCTGGTTTGCCTGTCACACCAAGAGGGGGGTCAGAATTTTCTTTTTCTCCCTTGTGGAAAGTGTTAGCGTTTCTCTGTAAAACTGAAAAGTTTTGGTCCCAAAACAAGTCATTTTACAATTTTTATCTGAATTATTGATTTGGGGGGTTGTCTGTGTTTTAATACAAAACCCTAAATGTTTAAAGGAAAACAAATACTCCTCACAAGTTTTCATTTAGTCCAAGTTCCACTTTCCTGTTAAAAAACAGGTTAGATGGAAAATTTTCAGGCAGCCTCACTTACATCTTTAATTAATTGTTGTTAAATGCCTGGAGACTTCTTACCGTTTTCTCCCACTGTAATATTCCGGTTATATAATCAGCCTAATTCTTTCTCCTTGTGCCTGTTCATTCGGTACCATCTGTAACCCCACGGTCTCAAATGACTCTTCAGACATCAGAGACTGCTGGACAGCTGCCACCGTCCAAGAGGAGCAGGGTCGCCAGCCCACTCTCACACATTGAAGATGACTCTTCCATTGAAGAGCATGTCCGTCGATGGACCTGGGGTACGCTGTGTGAGCTGGAGTCATACCAGCCCTTTATTGGACAGGCTAAGCTTTTACAGCCGTCCACGTTCTGTACAGCCAAGCTCCACTCATTGAAACAGGCCCCTGCCGTGTGCAGCCGAGTTAGATTTGTGGCCACAACAGGCTCAGTTTACCTGTTTTACCAACTTCTCTCTGCCACCCCAGCACTTGGCTTCCCCCTGAGACTACTCCGAGATCCACAAACCCAGGTCTCTGGGCACCACCCTAACGGTCATGCTGCTTCTACAATTCAAGGAAATAAAAAAGCCCAAACTTACGAATTCTGGGATAAAGAGGAAATCAGGAAACGTGGCCAGCACAGGGCTCAGTTTACCTGTTTTACCAACTTCTCTCTGCCACCCCAGCACTTGGCTTCCCCCTGAGACTACTCCGAGATCCACAAACCCAGGTCTCTGGGCACCACCCTAACGGTCATGCTGCTTCTACAATTCAAGGAAATAAAAAAGCCCAAACTTACGAATTCTGGGATAAAGAGGAAATCAGGAAACGTGGCCAGCACAGAGCAGCCACTAGGCAAGGACACTGAAGCGGCTGCGGATGACATCTTGGTCTTTCAGCTGACCCACCGCAGCTGGGAGCAGACGTGGCTTTCAGATGCAGCCTCCACCTCTGAGACAGGTGAATTCGTAACTGATCGACCTGCCTAGAGGGAAGGAGCTAACATAGGTGTGGCCAGCTCATTTGACAGACTTGCCCGTTGTGTTTGCAAGCCTGGGGAGGGGGCGGGAGAGGAATGTTAGATTTTAACTTTCCTGTAGCTTTGGATCTAGCCTTAGATCTCCTGGGCCAGGCAGGGTTAGTGGTGGAGACCTGCTGGCCCAGAGGGGGCTGGAATGAAATGTTCCAGGGATAACTCAAGGGACGGGGCCCAGGTACTCTGCTGGGGGAGAGCAGTGTCACCCACCCTATTGACATCAGTCCCCCCGCGGGCCTGGCCCTGGCTTGTGACCTGAGCCCTGCCGCTGCTCCACAACTGCATCCACAGCTGCTCCGTGAGAATTGGGAGATTTCCAGGGGCCCCCTTAGCACCCAGCAC